ACCCATCCCTCCAGATCCTCCATCAGACCTTGGTCACCGCAAACGAGCCATCTAGCGAAATTGTCAAGCTTCTCCTCGTTTGAGGTTTTTGGGGCAGGCACAAAGGTTCCGGTTGTGGTAGTCGGCGTAAATAAACCGGTCGTCTGGACCGTATTGAGTGGTGCTGCTTGTGGCGCAGCAATTGCCGGTACAGAGGCAGGGGCTGATGTGACAGCGTTGCTGGAAAAGATATTCACACCTGCGACGGGCTGGGTTGAAGAGGCTGGAGCAAAGATCGTTGAACTTTGCCCGGATTCGAAAGCGTTGTCAACATTTGCATTCGGACGAGATATGTGGGTGCTAGGCGGGGACGAAAGACCCCGAGCAGCTGACCCGAACAGTCCACTAGCAGTAGTTTCATTGGAACCAGGAAGCTTAAAGTCAGTACCTGTTGCAGCTGATGCTCCAAACAGAGTAGATTGGCTTTCTTTATTGCCCGAAGTTGGAACCAAGTCAGCTGCTGCAGTGGGAAAGAAAGAAGGACTGTTTGTGCTCGCTTCCTCGATATTTGGTACTGGTTTACTCCCAGTGTTGTTTGAGAAACCGAAAAATCCTGGAGAGACACTGCTATTCCCGGCACTACCAGAATCTTCGCGGGACTCTATATATTTAACGGAAGTCTCGCCAAATGTGACTTTCTTTGCTGCATCCGGGACATGCGTTGGTTTCGTAGTTGTCGACGCTGGTGCTCTGCCGAATAAATTGGATTGAGGCGTCGTGGCTGTCGGAGTAACTTGGGCACTGCTGCCAAAGATATTTCCTGACATCGACGAGGGCGGTTGCGTAGCACCAAGACCTGTGCTGTGTGGCGAAAAGACGGATGTAGTTGGCGAATTGCCAAAAAGGGGTTGCCGAGCGGGTGCGAATCCATCACTTGGCACCGACGCTGCCGCAGTTTCTGTATCCTCCAGATCCGAATCTGCGACCGGAGCAACTTCAGACGGCGTCGACGTTTCTGCCGGAGTATCAACGAAAAGGCTGTCTTCCGCCACATGTGTGCCTGAACCGGTAGTAGCGCCAGGTTCCTCATATATGGTCTCGTGAATGACATCTGGAAAAGGTCTTTCGTTTCGTTTGCGCTCCACGATATCATGCGAGAATGCTTGCGGGATACGCGGTCGCTTGATTTGTGTACGGGGTTCGATGAACAGATAACGAAGCCCATTTTCCTGCTTGAACTCCAGGTCGTGCAATTCTGCAAACGCCACAGCGTCGTCTTCCGTGTCGAATTGAAGTCTTCGTCGAAGAAAGTCGGGAGTGATGTCTTTGGGCGCACCCTTTGGCCGTGAGTAAGATTTTGCGATGGTTTTGAGGATGGTCTGGCGAACAGGGCCGAAATGAATCTCCGCAATGCAGGCCATGGTGTAAGAGATCTGTGGAGATGCGACTATACTGAAGAAAATCGATGCGGCGTTCAACGCAATTTCCGTTGAAGATTCCGGTTTCAAAGGGCCATGTAGCATTGTCGTGTTCTGCATGGCTTCAACAACGCACATGGCAGTCTGGATGTCTTCAGTGCCATATATTTCTTCACCCCAGCTTTCAACGGTCTCCTTCAGGGCTGAATCCCAACCAAAGAAGACAATGTAGTAGGACAAAAACTCGGCCTCATTTTCACATGTTACCCCCATGTCAGCACAGTCCTTGTACCTTTGCTTCAAGGTCATCAGAGACTTGCTAAGCTGCTCGACTTCCTGTTGCTCAGAGTAGTCCTTGTACTTGAACCAGGAACGCGCAAGAAGGTGGGCAGATGTCGCATGGAACCGCACGATGGTTTCGAGTACATAGATTTCATCCTTCATCTCCACCGGCGTCATCGAAGGTGTTTGCATGGAGAGGTCGATGCGGATCGCCCTTGTCCGGTCCCAGGCGAAATGATGATAAGTTGGTAGCCGATCGTCTTGGGCAATCAGTTCATCAATCAGATAATCCAAAGTTCGTCTGCAGGCTGCGGGGGATCGAACATCCATCGGCAATGCCGCTTCTTGTCCGGCGGCAGATCGTGCTAAACGTTTGATCATCTTATCTGGCTCAGGGACCCGAACTCCGCCGTCCTCATATCCTTCGGGACCCCAAAGCCCGTTCTCAACAATTCGTTGTATCCGTTCCCACTCTGGACACATATCCTCGCAAATTCCTTTGAAGGGTAGGGCTTCGTCAAGACGTCGACGTTTGTCAGGATCATCTACAAGGTCTGCTTTCATCAAAGACCTGCGAGCCTTTTCTCGATAGGCGCGATGTTTATGGCGAAGATCATCCATCACAGACTTCTGACGTAAAGCATTATCGTCTGTAGGCCATTCAGGTCGTTTGATCCCGTCTTTGGCGAGCTGCAATTTGATCCTAGTCCCGAATTCGCTTGGTGGTCTTGTGAGAGGAGCCTTTGTCTGAGCTTGCTTCGACCCGAATGGAGTCTTGGCAGGCTGCTGAGACCTGGGTCCATGGTTGCCATTGCTCTGTTGAGGCTTTGCAGGAGCACCAAATGTCTTGAGAGCCGGCGAGCTAAATTGCTTAGGACCAGCAGGAGGGTTGAATCCAACAGGCTTGGCGTGACTTGTGGACTTATTTTGTGTTTGAGGGGCACTCGACTGGAACGAAGGTATTGACTGGCTGGCTAGATTGTTTGTAAAAGGATTCAGTTTAGTCGATTGCGCTGCGAATGGGTTGGATACAGTCTGTAGTGGTGGTTCAGGTGACGCCTTGAATATGTTACTGCTAGGTTTCGGAGAAGAAGCCGCCATATTCGCAAAAGGATTGAAGGGTGTTTGCGACTGCGCTGGCGCTGGCGGAGCAAAAGCTACAAAAGAAAAACCGTTAGTCAAGCATGAGCATGCAGCATACCTATATATTTGGGATCAAATATCAATCAGAGTAAGGACTGCGCGTGCGAGCTTTCAGAACAACGAATAATATCGAAACGTGGTCCATGATCCTAAAAGTCTCGAGCGGCAAGCGACGATGGCTCAAACACACACCAGCCGCCTGATCCCAGAAGGTCCTGAAGAACCATGTATGCGGGCGATCAGGTGCTGTGGCCCCCCCAAAGTTCTCGGCTAGACATGATACGCACGTCGTCGAGGGTATCAGACAGTCATCCGGTAATTCGGTAGTCCTCCCAAGACTTCAGACGTTGAGGATAGTCGGACTGTGGACAGGTCGGAGCGTCCATGTTTGATATTGCCGGACGCATTTCGTGCATGCGATGTCATGGTATTCGCGGAGTGATCGTTGGAGTCTAGTTGGGTGATAGGAGAGGCGTTGGACTCACGATTGTTGGTAGCCATGGCTCCAGGTCGACCACGGCAACAAGGCCGGGAGGTCAAGGATGTCGGCTAGCTATGGGCGCAGTCATTGATGTATCCGACAGGGATTGAAGGCTGTCGGGAGATTGTCCGAGTAGGTTGGAGATGATTCTCGCGCGGGAGGTTTTCGTCAGTGAGGCGCTGGGGGACTGAGGGCTGATTGCAGGTTCAGGTCCAGGTAAAGGCTGGTTTGGGTCGGATCGAGTTCACGATCGCGTCGGGATAGATAGGCGCCCAAGCGCGAAAGTGAATATGGCGTAGTCACAAAGGCACGTAGAATGCGGGAAGGCTGAGTGAACGAATGAATGAATGAATGTGTAGTCTGGCGGTTGGCAGATTTGTGATTGGTGATTTGGGCCTGTTGTCGCCCGAGTCGAGATGTCGGGGCGACTTTGGTGTGGCGCTTTTTGTTCTCGTCTCGTCTCGTCTTGTCTCGTCGATTCAATGTGAGGTCGAGAAGCGGGAAGCCGGACGCGGGAAGCGAGAAGCGAGAGAGCATTTGAATGTTCTATCGCAAGCTGGATGCGGAAGCTACGACCAGCCCGTCTGCCATTCTGCCATTCAGTAGCTTTGACCACCCCCACTCACGCGCCGGATCAAGTCTGGCGCAAGCCAGCGGGCACTGACCGCCCCAAAACCCCACTGACAGCCGTTGAATGCAGAGTGGCTTGCCACGGAACAGTGAGTAGTTGTTGAACATCTCAGCTCACAGCTTGTCGCGTCGTCTTCAGCACTTCAGATACCGATTACAAGGAGAATTTTGATTTCAAGCAAGATATAATCACCCGCCTCACCACGGCGGATGACAATTGACTGCGGGCAGTGAGGAACCAAACTTGTACATGTTTTTAGGACGATGTTCTTGAGCATTAAAATCAGAATTATGTTTCCAGTCAGCCAGCGCCACCCCCAGACGTAGTCAAATCGCTTGGGGACCTCACCCGCGCCATGACATGAATAATTCACCCCATCCTGAAGTACTCAGCACATCCTCGGAATTCTAAACCTAAGATCTTATCGCAAGCTGGAAGCAGATCACATAATGCTCGGAATATGTACAACGTTGCAGTCCTCACACTATTAGGTTCATCAGACTGCCAATGAGGTCATTGCAACCAAGCCAAATTAGTGGGCAGCCCTCGACCGTACCATAGAGCGGCTGGGGCTCTCGGCAATCAATGCAGCGCCAAAGTCAGCCCAAGAACAGTTGAGGTCAGCCCTGGCAACACGCAATCTTCGCAGCGCAAGTCACAACTTAAATGTTCTCTGAACTTCACAGACTCACAAACCACCAGCGGATGTCTCACATAGTAAAAGAGTTGCGGAGCCGCAGCCGTTGCGCTCACTGTTCGCTTGCGATCTGATTGCCCGCTTTAAGCCATCAATGCGCGTGTTATCTATCATACCTTTCTCACCGTCTCAGCTCATGGATCCGAGGAGCAGCCTCATCTCGGCCTGCGATACTTGCTAACTGCATTGCGCACCTTCGATCCAGCCGGGACCACGCTGCGTAGGACTGTAGAACAGCGCGTCCTCCCTCATCTATTTTGCAACCTGCGACAACAGAATCTTTTCGAGTCACGCCCGCTCGTTGGCCATTGACAGCCCAAGGACTGAACTTGTTGACCCTGCTGTCTGTGGTCTCCCCCGGTCGCCGCGATGGCGTTCCTGGAAGACCCCCGATTACGCCAGCGCTGGAATCAGATCTCTCACACTACGGAGGCGGTCACTGAGAACGCTGCCGCCGGTATATGGACATTTGGTCACCAATACATAAACCCATGTTTTGCCTCGATAGGAGCCGTAGTCGACAGCTGCACTGCACCCTGTTTTGGCGACCACGAAGAACGAGCGCGAAGGAAAAGAGAGCGTGAGCGGGAGGCGGAATACAGCTTCGACTTCTACGATGATTGGGATGAAGACCTTGTCGGCGACAGCGGTCAAGGAGGCTTCGGGGCCTGGCGCAACGAGGACTGGGAGCGTCTGATTGGGGGGTCAGGCGCCAGTAAAAGTCAACGAGCAGCTACTGGCGAAATTCAAGAGCAACCACATGGCAGAAAACGGGGCATGAGTTACGGAACCAGAGGAACTAGGCGGAAATCTAGTGTGGCTGCCGAAGATCCTACCATCATTCCTAGTACCCAACCTATCGGCTTTCTCGGGAAACTGCCCTTCAAGATCAAAGGAACTCTGAGGTATAAGCCGAGTGCGGCAAACCTACAAGACCATCCTGGTGCGTCGAGGCATCTGGAAGGCGAAAATCAACCTTTGCTAGGACATCACGAAGAGGAGTATCATCCTCATACGTCATTGCCGCAGACTAGGAAACGAAGCGGTACGACGAGCAGTGGCGACACGAGCGATTCGTACAGGTCACGAGGGGATCTTTTCCCTAGCGATGAAGAGGGAGAGGAGGATGCTGTTCCTCTTGACGATGAGTTTGCAGTGGCCCTAGATCGTGTCGATGACAGGTCGAGCAATAGAACCAAGAGCAGCAAAGGCAAGAGAACTGCGAGCTACACAATACCACGCAGCGTATCAAGGACCACCATAGGCACAATAACACCTTCCAGGCCCACTTCATTGCGGCAGGTACAAGATCCGATCTCAGATGCGGATGAGGCATTAGAAGCATCCACACTGTCACTCAAAGACCTGCTGCAAGAGGAAGAACAAATACAACGCGAAGAAGATGAAGAGATCGAACGAAAGAGGCACATTGCAGCACACCTGGCCATGGAACGCGGACTTCAACGCGATAATGTCGACTATGGTTTTGTCCCGGAGGCCAAGCCCGAGCTGATCAAGGTCGAGAACATTCCAACACCAGAACAGGCCGAGTTTGTTAACGCCGAGAGCCCATCGCCTTGGTCGAAGAAGAAAGAGGAAGCAGCCGAGACCACGGTGTCTCAAGCACACAATCCCGATCAGACTATTGATGAATTCGTACCGGCGCGGTTACCTTATTTCAGGTAAAGGGGTCTAGCGATGATGACGAGACGAATTAAGAGCTACGAATTGTACACTTGTCGCAACTATGCATATTCTCAAATTACTACTTAGTCAGCGCACTTCGTTGGTTGGCTGCCGTTGAACAGAGAAAACAGAGAGTGAAAACTATGCCACAGCATTGTCCATTATTGTAGAAGACCGTTAGGCAATAGACGCGGAAGAACAATTCCTTCGCTCATCATACTAAATCATTTATGTTCGTTGGACCTACTAGTAAAGTGGGCGATTTACATCACTTGGGGAGTTTTACATGGAAACGAGAATCGGTGATTGTAAGCCTGCCGAGTATATGTATGCAAGAAGCTTGGCACTTTCAGTCAACTCCAATTGGTACATGATTTACGATCTGGTTGCCTCATCTCGGCAGGCCATCTCTGCTATGCACTGGAAAGCAATTTGCCCTACCAGAAACTGTCAAAAGTGCCTCGGCACTATGTTACTCCCCCGCATTGAACTACCCCAGACGCCCCACTGCGCCTCCCCATATTAGGGGATACCATGCGGGAACCGACAGGGGGGCCAGCGACGTCAGGACATTATTTCAGCCTGTCCGTCGCCAACATATTTGTGTTCTAAACAGGCCGATTTTTGTGTGAAAATAAGGGAGAGAGTTGAAATCAGTGAAGGATTGAGATCACGGTGGTAGCACTTATTTCCCTCAAGTTTCAGTGTGTGAAACTGGTCGGGATCTTGTTCCATTGCTTTACCCACTCAGCGGCGCCGGCCGATTACTTTATATCATAGACCGAAGCGCAACTCGTCCGAATACCTGCCTTTCCTAGCAAAACTGCCAACATGACATCCGCCAACGCCAATCTCACGCCCACGGGTCCCATCACGACGCCGCTGACCACTCTCTTGGGGATCCAGCACCCCATCGTGCTGGCGGGGATGGCTCGCACATCCGGCGCGGCGCTCGCAGCCGCTGTCTCCAACGCAGGCGGCCTCGGCGTGATTGGCGGTTTCATGTACACGCCAGACCAACTGCGGTCGATTGTCAAAGAGATGAAGTCCTTGCTCAAGAGTCCGGACCTGCCCTTTGGCGTCGACCTCGCGCTCCCGCAGATCGGCGGCAACGCCCGCAGGACGAACCACGACTACACATCAGGAAAGTTGGACGAGCTGATCGACATCACCATTGAGAGCGGCGCCAGGTTGTTCATCAGCGCCGTCGGCGTCCCGCCCAAGTACGTCATTGATCGTCTACACAGTCACGGCATCCTGATCATGAACATGGTCGGGCATCCGAAGCACGCGGTCAAAGCTCTGGATCTAGGGGTGGACATGGTGTGTCCGCAGGGCGGCGAGGGCGGCGGGCATACGGGCGATATCGCGAACAGCGTGCTGATCCCGGCCGTGGTGGACGTGGCGAGGCGGTACAAGCCCGCGGCGCTCAAGGGCAGCCCAGCGCTGGTCGTCGCCGCGGGTGGCATCTATAACGGACGCGGCCTAGCTTCGAGTCTGATGCAAGGCGCGGCGGGCGTTTGGGTGGGCACGCGGTTTGTGGCCTCAGTGGAGGCCGGATGCTCTGAGGAGCACAAGAAGGCAGTGGTCCAGTGCAAGTTCGAGGAGACGGACAGGACGCTCGTGCTGTCGGGTCGCCCACTGAGGATGCGCGTCAATGATTATATCGCCAAGTGGCATGCGCAGCCTGCCAAGGTCAAAGAGCTCTGCGATCAGGGCATCGTGCCTATAGAATGGGACTTTGATCAGGGCAACGATGTCGACCCGCCACACTTGATGGGTCAGGTTGCTGGCGCCATCACCAAGATACAGCCCGCTAGCGAGATTGTGCAGGAGATGGTGCAGGAGGCTGTCGAGATGCTCAAGATTGGTCGGGGTTACTTGACGCCGGAGGGGAAGAGTAGGCTTTAAAACGGTAGCAAAGCTCCCCAGCAGGGCTCAAGAAGACCCTTGGTGCGGATGAAGCACATGTGGGGTGACTGATGCATAAGGCCCTAGGCCGTCATGACGCTTGTTGCAGGCGGGCCGGCCAAAGAGGAGTGGAGACCGAGAGTATAATGAGGCCGGCGACAGCAGGGCCCGACTCGCCGATGTCACTACGTAGAGTTTGCAGGAAGTGAAACCACGGGAGCTTTGTTGGTGGTTGGCGATTTGCAAATCATTCTTGGCGATTACACCACATTTCACCGTCTCTACAGGCGAGAGCGAGTGGCTTGGGAAAGCTTCTCGGATGTTTTTGGGATCAGCGTCCTTCCCGTGTGCGACTACAGCATAGTCGTACTAAATCACAGATCGTACAGCTCTCGTCATACATCGGTGATGCCACGCTGTATTTGGACAGGTAGTCTGTAACACACAGATGTCAATTGGTTGATCTAGAATTGTGACTACCAAGAACAGATAAATCGTTATGACGTAATTTAAGGCTGGACGCGAAGACGTCACTCTTCTAGGTCCAACCGCCCATACTATGTATATTATGTCTTGCTTGACCGCGACGTTTTGAGTTGAACCACTCCTTGGGGGTCCTGCGGGAGCCGCGCGCCCATTCCTACTAAACGCAACGTGGGACTAGGGAGTCCGGCTGAGTTTCCTCAAATCATATTTTTGACTTCAAGTATTCCCAAGCGAACCCCTATTCGTTTGCAGTACACAGTAGACGTGCAGAAGCTAACTTAATCGTGTCGCTGTTTCATCGCCAGACGGACATTGCGTCGTGCGACGAGACTGGACACAACGTCTGCACTGCACAAGTGGCGCTTCCGAAAGTTCACAGAATAGTATTCAACCACCACGTAATTCCTGATGGACATCTAGTAATCTAATTTGGGACAACCATGAAATTATGAAATTCGTGGGCGTTTTGAATAGAAAGCCAGTAGCATAATATGTGACGAGATTGAGTAACACAGTCAAACCACGCAATGGCAATATCTGTGCGACTTTCATGAACTTTTGTGTAGATACGTTCTACTGCATACGCAGAGGCCCGATTTGTCTGCCGTGCCGACTTTAAACCCAAGATAGTCGGTCTGGTTGATAATTGCCCAAGCGGGAAGGACATGCTGCACTATTGTGGCCTTTTAGCTGGTGTCGGCAGTATCGGGGCTTGAAGACGGTAAGATCGACGGCACGCTTGAAGATCACTGATCTGCAGGGTACTAAGAGGGGCAGAGTCCCAAAAGAATTTACGGAAATATTGGAGAAATGGCAGCCCCCCACCACATGGTGCGCTTTGGGCAGGTAGTTTTGCAGAACAGAGTGAGAAGCAAACAATAGGGTCACTGTGCAGTTGTGATTGAGTTGAAAGATTTGATGAACTTGGTATTGTCTTTATGAAGAGATTGGTATTTCATTCATCATTTGAGTAGCGATCGTGGTATTGATCTTCGGGTATCGTCTGAAAATGTAAGAAAATCGTGCAAGTCGTGGATAATTGTACAGCTTCAAATCCGCGCGTCCTGTTCCTCTATGCAAATATAGCGGTCGCGATGATGGGCTCCTTCTCCCACTGGGTCGGTAGTACCATCATCAAAGTATCCAATTCCTCGCGTGCAGCTTGCATTCGCTTCTTCATTTCCTCCTCTGATTGTTGTACCACTGGTGATGATCGTTGTGCCTGCTCGATGCGCTCTACCAATTCCTCAACCTCATCTAGTGCCTCGTCTTCCACCAATTGGGAAGTAGGGCTCAGTTTTGAATTCAAGATGTCATGGACGAAGATCAACTTCTGTAGTCTGTCGAAATTGACCCTTTTATAGCGTAGCACTCTCCATGCACCTTCGGGGACCACTGCAAGTCTCTCTAACTTTTCCAAATCTGTCGTTTTGGCCCATAGCGGTGAGCGACCTGGCGTAAGCTCCGCGTTGCCAATGAAGAGTGTGTCTTTCGAAAAATCGATATAAATTCTTGGTGAGTGCTGTCCCACACCAAAGGACAGTTGATAATGTATCAAGGCCTCATGACGAGCTTCAGCATTGACGTGAAGGAGAGCAGGAATCTCAGTATGGGACGTCCATGCCTCGGCATCGTCATTTTGTTGTAGTAAAGCATTTTCGAGTGATTGTGGAGAGGTTTCTTTGTGGGAGAGAGGTGAGTTGACAACGACTGTTCGCGCTTCAGGCATAGCAGTTTGCCATATCTTAATGCGAAGCTCTGGTGGGAGATCGCCGAATCTGGTGAAACTCGGAGAGCTCTGGGTCGTATAGTTATGTGATGCGACTGACTCCATGGTGAAATTGTTGCGTGGGGTGTACGTTTTGCGGATGATAGTAGTGAAAATTTTATGAGAATCGGGGATATCTTATAGTGTTGTATAAACACCGGAGCAAGGGTCCTTCCAGCAGAATAGACTTCCAAAGGTCGCGGATCAGGTGGTGCTGCTTGCTATGATATGACTGTTTGCGTCAACGGTGGCAAGGTCCAAGCCGCTCTAAGGTTACTATACTATGATAGTGCCCAGCTGCGTAAAGATGATGGGTACAAGCAGGCGCTAATGCTAGTACAACTTTGCGTGGCTGATCGGTAGCCGCGTGATTCAGAAAGGAAAGTCAGTGGCAACGTGGACCTGACGAGGAAAGAGGTAATATGTATGTTTATGAGGAAGAGCGAGATAGCGTCTAACGAGAGGTTCCTCCAATCCTAATCCCTCCAAATTATCTCAGCTGATATGGGGAAGTCTCATTTCCTACAGTAGGCAGCCGATATTACTACTCCCAGCTTGCTAAGTATACTAACCTAGTGCATTGAAGAACCATTGCATGATCCAGGCCCCCCCAGATCGGGAAGCGAGCCAGAAGCTTGGCCCCACTACTGCTGGGGTGGGCGTCTGACCCATTGTGACAGCAATTAGAAACGTGGGCTGATAAGGGATATGACAGCCACACCAAGCTAGACTAGCATTGTCAGCGAGTCGGTTCTTGTACATGCTTGATACTTGAATAACAGAGCAGTTGCGGGCACCGGTGCCGTCGCCGCGTTTTACAGGCGAGTATTGTGTAGTGAAGACGTGAACCCAGTTAAAATCCACAGTCCACAACTCGATGGTGTATGTAGCTAGACTAGTAGCTACCGCGTGGTCTGGTGGTTGCTGCTATCCTCAAGCTGGTAGCTGCATGAAAGATGTAGTGAGGGTATCCCGGTATCACTGAATGGAGCTGTCCAACAAATCTCGGATTAACCAACACCTATGCGGTGTAACACATCTGATTCAATTTGCATGAAGACACGCATGAGCAATGCTTTTGAGAGCCGACAACGAGGGTAAGGTAGCTGTCCGACCAAAAACCCCTCCCGGAGCATTAACCAGATGAATTCCACATGCACTGGGAGCAGTTGCTCTAGCTATTGGTCACATAATGATGGTGTTTGTACAAAGAGGATCGTGCGGGAGGTTGTGCCGGTATCTGAAATGTTGGCAGGCAGGGAAAATTCCAGGCACATCGTAAGGTTCGCTGGTCAAGTCACACGTCTCGCCTTTCAAACCAGTGACGCCACAAGGGTCCCGCGACTTGTGACGAACGGTGATTCGCAAAGCTCCCTCACTTTTAGCATTGCTTCCGAGGAGGAAATACTAATCACGCTACTCTAACGCCAGTGCATTAGACTGGAGTCGGGCATTTCCGGTTGTTATATGCCGACTTCCATTGGGTTGCTCGTGCTAAAATGCCCATCGATTCAGCTGACATAAAAAGAATTCGCGTAGCGAGCGAGGCCTTCGGTCCCGTAGAATGATCTTCAAATTTGAATGCGCACTGACAATACCACAACACTACTCGAGAAATCTCACAGGATGCAGTTCCAATAAATCTTGATAGGCAGTACGTTTGTGTTGACCTCGGTGAGCGGAGCTCTGCATCTCCGCCGCAGCTACCCTTGTTACTTCCCAACCAAGGATCCTGGGAAGTCAAGTTACGCTTTTTGCATGACAAGGCGAGATCATCAAGCAAACAACAGTGCCGGACTACCTAATTGTTGTTGATGACATTAACTGTCTCACTGCATTCCTCGTATGTAAACATTGTGCACGACTCTGGAGTGGGTGCAGCACTGCCACCTCTTTCATGTATGCTATTTACACCGCTTGCTGCTACGCTTACGCGTCCTTGGCTTGACTCAAAGCATCGATCTTCACCTCACTATGTGAAATCGCAAAAACCACGGCCCCGTTGGAGCCAATTCGACACAGGCTCGTCATTTTGCATGAAACCCTCGGGGAACTCTAAATACTAAATAGAGCGCATGGGAACTAGGACATGGTGGATATTTAATACTGGGATCGGAGCTTTCGTGGATACTGACGCCGAGCACCGATCTCAATCATTTCGTTTGGTCTTTTGCCAAGGTCTCGTGAACACTGCCATGATTCGCGGCTGTTAGAGTCACGAGGTGAACTTGTGTATAATCCCCAGCTGCGTCGATGCTAACATCTCAGGGCAGAGCCTCAAAGCTTCGAGTCAAGAACTAAGACTAAGTCACAAATATCATCATAGATCTTGAAACAGCTTCCGCGTCAAAGAAAGCTTCGAAACTCGTCACGAGATCACCCCATGGTCACAAGATGGCGTACACAATTGTCATATGAAGCATTTTTCCCCCAACACTCTTTGAAACTAGAAATAAAGCCTTGGCAATGTCCCTGCGGCAAATTCTCGATACTCTGCAGTTGCAGAGGCTGGGCAGGTCACGCTTATTCTGGCAACGAGTCAAAAGGACCAGCTGGATAGCCACTTCTTCCTCCACATACTTTATGCATCATCTGAAGTCGAATTGACACGTCGATATCAAACTTTCACACCGCTACAGAGCTGGAACTCTCCATTATACCTTTGCCATGGTATGCATCGTGACAGCCCCCATGGCTCCTCCCCCGCATTTCTCCTGACGATCTGAAATCAGGGTCGCATCTGACAAAAGCTGGGTCAGGATCCACCGGTTGATCCGGCTCATACCGTCCCAATCGGATTGTTTGTGATTAACAGTATGCAAAGCTACTCGATAATATGGAGACATACTCGATAGAACACGGAAACACTCGATAGTACGGCTATGCACAGAACAATATCAATGCTCCCCCACGGTGAGGAGACCACATTTCCTATGGTGGTCGTCGAATCCCAGCTTTGATCGTGCCTCCACCAAAACCAACTCATCCAACTTCAATGGAATCTTCCCGGGATGGCCTAGCCACTCCAAAATCGCCAGCAATGAGAAGGATGAAACCTCCCTTCAGCCTTTGGTAGATGGACCGTGAGGATTCCAGCAATCAAATATTTGCTCAGTCCCAAAATCCATCATTGTCGCACTTATGCATGAGACTTTGAGATGGCGCCTATATCGCAAGTGTTCATCAGGAAGCGCTTCGTTGAACGGTTCAACAACCCTTTCTGACGCCTTTTCCACTGCATCCTAAGCGAGTACCAGTCCAAATCTTAACCGCCAAGTGGCAACTATTTTGATTTCATAAAGTTGTCTTTGCCCATGTCAATGTCTAGCATGTGGCCCTTGAGGGGTTTGGACCTCTTACACTACAACAGTGCAAAGTCAAAATTGCCCATTGGTGCCAATGCCCGTGCTGCTTTTCTTCATCTCTATGTGATCTCGTGCCGACGCTTTCAAGTCAGCCTCTTCCCTGAAGGCAGTGCTCATTTCCCGAGCTTGTGTCTATGTTCACGAGCCAGGCACAAAGAGCAATGCTCTGGACCTCGATGGATCCCAACCGTGCCAATGGCATCCAAATTCGCTTCGAGCAAGCCTCTAGGAAATGCAAGAAGCAACCATCGAAACAGCTGGGCCTCACCGTCAAAGGAGGATTGAGTCGTGCGCCCATCAGCCCTAGGCAGTCTAGACTTTAACCCTTGTCTGTTGCCAGATTGCTGGGAAATGGCGGGGGCGCCCGCCTCAGCGTTATAGTCGGGATCTAGAACCCTCAATGGATTTTGTCAAATATTGCTCGGTCCAGGGAGAATGCATGATAACGAATCACATCTTTTCTTATCATATCACATTTGACCAACCAAAAAAGCCGATAACAACGTGGGAAGCGATTCATGCATGCAACCGGAAATGGTATCCAGAACGTTGATCAAAAAACAAGGAACGCGGGCATTGGCTTGCAGCCTGTATTGCAGCCAAGATTGGACAGCTATCTCTTTCAGGCAAACAGCTATCTGGCATATTGCTTAGGCAGTGATATCAGCCGAGGTCGTTGGGAACCCATAGAGATTCGATTCGCCGTTGCCCTTCATGTGACTGATGGCTGTGACCATGCAAGCCAGATTTGGAAAGGAGGCTACGACGATACCACATGTTTTGAGCGATATCTCTGACCAACTCGTTGTTTGGGGGGGCGCGCATATTCTCGCAATCAAACAGCAGAAGCGCACCCCGTCTGCGTAAGCTTATCATTCGACTGGGTGTTACGCCGCTACGTGGCTTTTTATTGAAAGTGTACCTACTTGTCTAGACTAGCCGCTGAAAACCCAGGAGGTAGAAGGCTTTCATTGAAGGGAAGAGTGCAAAAACGTCTATCAGCTACAACATCCTGCTGCACTAGGAGTCTGGTTCCTACCACCCGTCCACGGAGATAGGCAGCGACATTTCTTCCAGGCCAGTAATCTACAACACCATCGTTGCGAGCATCTTTGTGAATGGGGAGCAGAGTTCCGTGCGCCCCTGGCAAGCAAGATGAGGTACTAACCGGCCATCTGACTCAGCCGTCTCACCAAGAACACATACAGCGAGGCTACTTGCTTCCTTTTCCCAAAAGAACCACCACTGTTTCGCAGCTTGCGAGCCCCAAGCCCGACCTATCATTGAAACAAAATCGTACGACAAACAACAGCCGGTTTCTGATTCTGCAGCGAGTGATGTGTAGTTATGGGGGCCAATGATGGGCTGCATTGATCCCGTGTCCAGTACCATTGCAGCAAGCCATGAAATCCCCCAGCTTTGCCCGATCCGGCACGGTGCGTGCAGGGCCCGCGTCGTCTACGCGTTGTGTAGTTTTTGATTTTCCTTGTCCGGCGTGAGGGGTTGTGATGAATGAACAGAGATGTTGCACGATTCCAAATCTCCATCTCAGCCAGAAGAACAGATGAATGGCTGGAACTTGGTCTCGGCCTTCATGCAATGGTATGGAGCACATAAACTTTACGATAGTGCTGCGAATCTATACAGATAACTTGCCAGCTCGACAGCCCTGGTACTAGCAAACATTACTAAGACTGTTTCGAGAATAGCTCGAAATGTAATCCTTGCTGCTGCTGCTGCTGCTGGCTTCTAGGCTCTGTAGGTATGTCCGCGATGTTCCTGGCCAGATATCCACGGCGCTGGCAGCCAGTCTGGGAACTTGTTAGCTCTTGGGACAAGGTTGAATTTTCATGAAGAGCTGTGACAATAGCTTCGCTGGAAGTTCAATAATCATGAACGGCTCATAGGCAAGGCCACTGCAAAGATGCAACTTTTGGGCGAGCATAGATATCAAACTAGGTATACCCAGGTGCAACAAATTTGTTGCACGACAGCAACGTATGCTTAGATACCATTGTTCTGTCCAAGCATTCGATCTGTCGAGGACATATTTGGGAATGCCACATCTGATCCATATGGGCAAATGAGCAGTATGAAGGTTTCTGAAGCAACATCTGATCTGTTTTCATGTTCATTAATGGCCTGTCTGAAATGGTTGCCATACGAAATTTCGCCTTTCTGATACGATTTGTCGGCAGGGCCTTGCACCCCTTCGTTACCCTGATCACCTGGGATACCATCGCTTCGAACTGTTTCCTTGACCAACGCCAATTAGATGTGCCACAAGCTCGCCTGGCACAAGAAAGCTGGCGGCCCTGACAATGAGACCAGTCCACATATGAGACCGGGTACCATTACAATGATTGTGAGTAGTTTATCACGAACCACCCGTGCTGTCCTTGCGCAACATCTCGGCGACATCTGCATCAATACCGTCATCGCCACTGAGATCAGGAAATTCCTCTCCAGAATCAAGACGGCGCTTCTTTGAACCGTTAATGGCGGTCGGTACCGAGTTATAATGGGAAGCCAAGTTAGAAAGCATCTCAATACCATGAGCTGCATTTTGCTGCGGAGGCGCGGCGTCTGGCATAATCTCTGACGACCACTGGTCCTCTTCATCTGCCTCTGCAGGCTCCTCAGGTCCGGCAGCAGGGGGCGTAAGTGCCTCAACCTCAGGCATTTCCACCTCGGGGGCGGCCTGGTCACTGAGCCCATGTGGGCCTGGTGAGTCCGTATCTGACAGGCCCTGCATGATGGCAAACTCGACATCACGCTTCTTGCTGTCAACTTCGGCCTTGCGCTTCTTGAACTTGTCAAGTTGCTCTTCATCAGCCGCCAAGGCAGCCTTGTTTGCTTCAAGAATCTTTTGCAATTCGTCGACTAAAGCACTGCGTGCCTTGACACATTGCTCGACAGCACCCTCGGCATTAGCGAGAGTCTTGAGCAGACCGTTCAGTCTAGCTGCATATACAGGAGCTGTGGGCGGAGTAGCTGTTGGCCCCATAAGCTTGTCGTAGTCCTGGTTCGCACCACTGACCGCTGTCTTTGTGGAGAGAAGCAACTTGGAGACATTTTGCTGAGGAGTGGCCAAGGTGGATAACTCTGCAGGCAAGGAGCCAGAGCTGCCAAAGATTGCTCCTCCGAAGCCAGACTTTGTGGTGCCTCGGGCCTTGTCAAGTTCTAATTTTGGGTCAGCACAACGATTAGTTGGAAATGCATTAACGGTACCAACCTTCAATACGTGACTCAATGGCGGTCTGGATAGGCTCCTCAAACACATGTCGCTCCTTCCAGACATCAACGACACGACGAATGCGTTGCTGAACATCAGACGGTGCACCTCTGTAAGCCGTGGCGCTCGCCTCAGCGATCACAGGCGAGAAAGCGACCAAAAAGTCATCCTTGTGGCGGACTTTGGACTGTTGACAAACTTCTACAATTTTATGGAATTAGTATTTGTTGCGGGCTAAGAACAAGTCGCAGCTACTACGCTGTGTGGAACCTTACCATTGGCCAGATAAACCAGGTTGAGTCTTTTGTGACTAGAAGAATCCTTGAGTCTTTGCAGCCATATCTGCACGGTACGGTCTGCATGCCGCCTGGTATGATGTTGGTTAGTCGGCTCGTAGAGTAATCGGAGTGGGCACTACATGGCAAACTACATACCTATGAAACATAATCCATTGGGCGACGGTGACTATGCTGTCTTGAGTCTCAGCGAGCGTCGAGAGCTTAGCTAGGACTGCATCGTCGGTGTACGACATGATGAAAACTTGGCGTATGGGATCTGAACTGGTGTTGGTTGTCTAGACAGATGGCTGGTGTTGACGCAAACTTGGTTGTGGGATTCTGTGGATTTGTGATTTTGGGCGGTCGTCGACAGGAATCTCAGCAGCTCTCGTTGGTGGATCTGGTGTCGTGATTTGTATTTGGGTTCTCACACGAAGCTTGTTGTTTGTTTACTCAATCAGGTCAAGTTCACAATCTTCATCTACGATAGTGGGAGCAGCAACAATTGTGAGCTTGGCCCGAGCAGTCAAGTGCCGAGTCTAGCTATTACTATGCTGGCCGTCCACCAAGGTGCACTAACAGGATGGAGGTTGCAGATAGTGTAGCAGTTGAATGGGCCCAATCCTGATGGCAGTTGCTTAGTTGTACTTGCGCAACTGGACGAGTTCAGATGTTGTTCTAGCTTTAGGAGCGTTGGATGGAAGTTGGCAAGAGCTCCCATGTTTGTCAAGACCAATCAAAGCCCAGGAAGTACCCGCATTAATATTGGTCCGGGCCAGTCCCTGAGCTAATGGCATTGTGCGCTAGTGGAGTTGTTGTGGTGCGGGAAGGGGGAAGCAAGCACTCAGCGCAGCGCATGTGCAGGCATTTGGCCCGGGCTTTGAGCCTGCTCAGGCTTGAGCTTAGACACTCCGTACTTAGACTTAGCACTGGAGAGGCTTAGGCCTAACTAGGCGGATAAGGAGGCTGAGGACAGCTGCACCTTGTGTGAACTGATCTTAGTGGCCTTGCGACAGCGCAACTGATCCCAAATAACCAGACATCCAGAACAACGTAGAATTGCATTCCACAACGACAAACATCTCAGCATCAGCAATAACGCTTCCGCCGGTTTGCTTCAAGGCCCCCTTCTAAACTTGGACGCTTCAGCATACGAAACTCGTTCCTCCGGTCCCCTTGTCCCCTTGCACTGTCATCCACAATGGCCGACCGCTTCCCATCCCTCGACGATTTCGATTCCGGTGGTAAGATATGCTACCAGATCAACCGACGCATCACATCAGGCTGACTTTCACCCTTGCGTTGCAGCTCAGACAAACGTCAACGACGTCGGTTCTCCAGATGCCGACGACTTTCTTGCCAGGGAGCAAGCCCTCCTTGGTGACGACGCAGCACAGTTCGCAACCAGCAATGACTCGGCTGCTTTCGTAGACACATCCGATGACCTGCTTGGTGAAGGCGACGATTCACATCTGGAGCAATCACAATTCCAGAACCAATTCCCCGACATTAACTCGGGCAATGATGTAAGGCTACCGGTCTGACCTGGATGCACATGGGCACCACATTGAAACCTGACACCTTGCGTAGGCAGTAGGACCCAGCGGCTCCATCACCGGACCTTCGGTCAGCTACAACTCGGGATTTCAGGCGCACGCCGAGGAGGAGCAAGAGCCCGAGGTCATCACGCAATGGCGCCAGAAGCGCGACGCCAGCAACGCCAAGCGAGCCGAACAATTCGCCCAACAAAAGGCCGAGACGGTCAAGGAGGCCCAGCAGAACATCGACGACTTCTATGAGAACTACAACAACAAGAAGGACAAGACCATTTCACAGACCCGCAAGGAAGCCGAGGAGTTCCTGGCAAAGCGAGAGGACACTGTCTCGGGCGGCACTAGCTGGGAGCGTATTGCCAAGCTGGTCGACATCAGCGGAAAGGGCCAGAAGGGTGGTGCTAATGGCTCTGGCAAGGAACGATTCCGTGAGCTGCTCATGACTCTACGAAAAGACGAGAAGGCTCCGGGTGCCGAGGGTTTCTAGACTCAAGCGCATGGTGGGGCGATTGATTATTGGTCTGATTGGGTCGCGAGCAAGTAATCTCGGGGTCATGCCTTGATTCAAGGTTGAAATGACCGCACTGTAATGTAGACTGACTTGCGTTGGCTGAGGAATGCCACTGGCATCTCCGGCGGAGTGAAAACAAACATGGGTTGGGTTATACTGGCTTGGAACTTGCACTGACGGGCACGGTGCCGCGCAGGCAAATCGTAACAGGTGGCCAAAGACCGGTTAGATTAGTGACAAATGAAAGGTGCTGTCATTCGTGTGAAATGCCTGTCTATTCAGTCACTCTATCAACAAACAGAGTACCCCCAGAGGTATCCTCTCCCAGAAGTTTGATATGTAATCTGATGGTCCCCATCTTCTCTCCTTGGACGGGTGGATTTAGTTCTTGCCGAACCAGGAGTTGTAACCAAGAACCTTGCGGCCCATCATGTACAAGGAAGCTATAATCCCGCATTAGTATCTTCACATGCCCGACCGAGTGGATCTTCCAACATACAGCTAAAGGTTCCCCAGAGGATGAGCTTGTAGGGAAGGTAGAGGTAGCTGCTTCGGGGTCCCTGCGTCATATACACGTTAACCAAGACGTCTCTTCTTGGACGGCTCGACCAGTCAAGCGAGGCGATGGTCTCGACGTACAATCTTCCAGAGCCGGGTGTGCTGGGCGTAAGCCTGCTGGTAGAACTTTTGGTGCTGAGGCACGCGGTTGGGAGCGTCGACGATACTAGTGAGAGGCGGTGGGGGTTAGCAATCGTCGTGAGGCCTAAAGTTTGCGGTTTGTGGTTTGTGGTTGGGGGATCGTATGATTCCGATGTGGCCGCAGAGAGCCATTGCCGGTCGCACGGGGTTCGGAAGGGGTCAATGCCAGATGGAAGAAGGCTTACCCCATCTTGAGATCTGTGGAGTGGAGAGTCGGAGGGCGTTTGGATGCGCGAAGGTGTTGCGATGAGCTCTTGTTGAAGCTTTGAATGAAGCAATCCAAGGCTTCCAATTGACAATTGACGTCCGTCGAACGATTGGAGACGGGGGCCCATAAAATGTGACTAAGCTGCTCTTTAGCCGAGATTCTGCCCGTCCCAGTCCGCGTTTCTCGCTTCACGTTTCTCGTTCCAGTTCCCCCGTGCCCATAACTAGTTACCTGTCATTGGACGGAGAAGCGTATTCCGTTTATGAAGCACGTTAAGTACGTTAAGTAGCGAAGCTTTCAGGCTTGGCAGCTCTTTTTTAATCATTATTCTATCTTCAAGACCGCGCCCGCAAAGGACCAACTCATCACCCCAAGTATCTTTTTCAATTTTCATTTTTTTTTAAATGAGATGACAAACAACGCAGACCATCGCTAGCGAGACTGTTGCCATGTGACCGGGGCAGTAATGCGACCGGTGAATTGGACTATCCGAGATGTGAAGCAGGCACGTCTCCTACTCAACCAACAGCTGCCCCTGCGGCATCGCCCTCGCCCTCGCTCTCCGGCTCTACACTCGTCGAGACATGCCGTAGCAGCGTCCTCACGAGCTCATGCTTATCAACTTCGCCAATATGCCACCGGCATCGACCGCCCCGTGGGCCTGATCACGTCTGACCATCTACCTCGATCGCTCCAGCCCGTGCGACCCCTTGGGCTTATCCGCGACTCCAAACCGGACAAGGTCTATGTCCAGGATGCCGCAACATTCGGCAAGTGGCAATGGCTTCTGAGCAATCCTACACGTCTCGCCATAGAAAGCGACTTCAGGCGCCGAGGGCCTGCGCGCAAGTGGAAGAAGACGCTACTCGTCGATCACCTTGACAATTATGGCGACTTCGAGTTGTGGAACTGCCTCTTGCAGCACCTGCAGCGAATGGACGGTGATGAGGGTGTACAGAAAGTGTGGTACGCGTTTTGGGGGAGAAAATCCCTATACCAGCTTCTTCATCTGCCTGACAGAATATTCTGGACCACTTTCGTTGAGGCTGCTCTAAGGCTTGGGGATGAAAAGTTCTTAGACAGCATATATCTTTATGCTGAATTCTTGATGGCGACCCACAACGTTGTATGGCCCGACTTGTACACCACTATCGTTCCTTACTTCCTTCGCACCCGTCAGCACGAAAAGGCCGTCAAGTGGCACCTGCAGCTAGTCCCAAACTTCTATCCTGGCTCACAAGCGTTCGTTTCTATGATGCAGGACTTCTCGACCGATCATACCTTGGCGTCTTCCTTCACATTGCAGTCTTTGTACATCGCGAGTCCCGAACGGCGCTTGTACGACGCGATTGTTCCCCAGCTATATGATCGTGGTCAATCTCGACTAGCTAGGCTATGGCGCAAGATTTGCATCATGCGCGACGACGTCCCACGGCTGTATGCCCCTTCAAGACAATTTCTTCGATACTTGGCAGGTTATTGGGCCAAAGAAGACCTTCACCCACGAGAGGCTGCAGCTTTGACCGACAATAACCAATCGTCCACGAATGAGGAGGACCAGCAGATTGAAGTAACTCGAGAGTTCATGAACCAGGTCCATGGCAAGACGTTTGGCTTCACCGCGAAGACATACAACGACTCTCTAGGCTCGCGGTGGTTCGCGAGCTCTTGGGTTGGCTTGGACTTGGCCATCTCTGTTGTGTCAGCCCTTGGTATTCAAGAGATCGGACCTTTATCGTTGCAAGCTATTTGTCTAAGGGAAGAGACCCCTGCCAATATTCTAGCGCGGATTGCCCAGCTCCAGAGCTCCGGCATTGCAATTCCAACTTCCGGTTACGCCAAAACAATTCAGCATCTTGCCAAAACCGGTGAGGATGTGCTGCTGCTACGTCTGTTGCGTTGCGACATCCACCCAGAAGTTTTTGACGATCTGGATATGCAAGCCAGGTTGATGGCCTCGAGCTCAGCTTCTGGCGATTTGTCAACTTACACCCTCCTCCTCGCTTCTCGCCTCGCAAGTGTTGACGATGCGGCTCAGAAAACAGCCAATGTCATGCTGCGGCTACACCTAGTCAAACATCATTTCCACGCCATTCTACATCTTCTTGACGATGTACGGGGCACCGGTGTTCCTCTTGATGTAGATACTTGCAAATTGATATTTGCGTGGGTACAACGACATGTCGATTGGCACAAGCATATCTCACAACATGATGAACTTAAATTTGCCGTGGCAGTCTGTCGACGTCTCAACTCCATGGACATTCCCGTCCCGGTTTCCTGCTGGGCTCGTATAGCATACGCACTTGGGCGATGGGGATATCTCGATGACCTGCGTGACCTCACGCTCGAGCTCATTGACCACTACACAATCAGACAGTCTTCACGTCCTGGCTTCATACCTGTTAATATAGTCGATGTTCCAGAGTCGCTCACGCAGCCATTAGGAGCTGTCCACAACTTGATGGGTCTCTACATTCCCCTGGACACACCGCTAGGTTTGCCTTTGCACCCCCTCAGTCAAATCTTCCCGCAAAAGTGGCAGACCTCGCTTCTCCGATGGTCCTTCCGCGAGATCCCTTTGCGGTCTAATGCTGCTTCGCCCTTTGGCGCCCAAAAACGACCTGGGACAAGTGTCGAGAATGCGATCCACATCTTGCGTCGGCTTCAGGATCGTGGTGCGAGGGTCAAGAAAGACGGGTTGCGAAAGGCATTGTGCCTCCGTCTGGCCGAACTGTACGGGAACCACCCAGTGGCTAGGAAAATTCAGCAGCAGAGCAAGCAGAGCAATGTCTACTCGCTCAGGGAGATGAAGTCCATGATTGACGAAGCCTGGGGCGGTGAACTTCTACCTTCGTTGATGGAACTTAAAGCCCAAATCAGAAAGTTTGACGAGGGCTACCTGAAGGAATACTACGAAGGTTGGGTCGCCGACAAGCATGGCTGGGAAACAAATCATCCCAGCGGGGTCTGGCGGCAGGTGCAGAGGGAACGCCAGCGTGCTTTCCCAATCCTGTAATTATATAACATAAGATCTTATAGAATGATACCAGCAACAATGTGCAACATATTCTTTCAGTTCTCACAATATTTTAAATTTACGGGATCATCTAGATCAAAACGAGGAACTACTTGACTCTAGTGATATATTAGTTGCGGTTCTTCTACTCATCAGAACTATGGACGAGGGCTTGAGCATGGTTTGGACGTCGTCTGCGTGGTACTTTGCAATCTCATTATAGGGCTGCGGTACCGACGTCAATGGCAAGACTCTAGAATGCACTGATCAGAAAACATGTTCTGGGTGGTAGTGGCCACGACTGTTCGCCGTGAATTTACTAGTAGGAAAAGGAGCAACCTCGAGAGTCGCAAGGCTTTACTGGTTATGAAGAGTGGGAGGCCAGCGGAGAGTAGTATAGTTACGACTGGCCGCCTGCCGGTGCCCGAGTTTCGAGGAAGGGCTATCAATTTGTCCCCTCCGTTGACAAACCAACATGACGCTGATGACAGCCCTACGTGGGGTGCTCTGATGTACCAGAGGCTCAATCAAACTCGTTTACAAAATCATATATGTGCGTCGACATCCTGCCTTTGGCAAGCTTGGTGGCAGTCCGGTGAGAGGTCGGCTGGTCTGGCAACATCACGAGTCTGTTACCATAGAACATGGGTTCGACAAGGTAAGCAAGAATACGTTCTTGAGAAAGTTGTTGGCCATGATTTGGGGTGTGGGCGGATGGTGACACGTCGAACGCGTCCTGGAAGACGGAATTTATGGTGAACTAGTAAGGTGTCGGCTTTGTGCTTCACTATGATCGCAAGAACTACTGGTGGGCTCTTTAATGATGTCAGGGATACAAGAGTAAGAGTCTAACTGATCACATGAAAGTGCAATAAGCTAATGACACGATAAACAAAATTGTTTCTAGATGCAGGAAGACTCAACGACGAGCTGCAAAAACGAAAGTTTTACCGAAACATTGCTGTATAACAGATCAATCAAGAGAGTGTCTAGGGATTATATCGTTCTTATACTCATTTTTCATAGGTCATCCATCCAACACAAGATATAAACAAGACGTTCTTGTTAACAATCCTTGAAGCAGGTGATCTGCTCTCGCATGGAAAATCATGAAATATAGCCACAACTAGCTCACCGAAATTCGAGGGACAACTTGATACTTGTTAACCAGCATTCTTTTGCAAGTAATAACCAATCTTAAAGAGCTCTCAATTAATCACCTAGGCAAATTTACGGATTTCGTAGTCTAGGATATACGCACCGCACCTTACTGAGGAGGCTTTTGTAAGGCTGTTGCTTGGCGCCATCGATGCTGGCATGCAACCGACCAATAAAACTCACAAAGCCTTAAAACTTGACTCTAGCTCATGGAGTATGGCCAAGCCACCTCAATTAGGATGCACGTTTTTAGAACTATGTACCTAACCTAGACTAGTGTAAATAGCGTGAACACACTTTGTTGTGAACCTTGTATCCGTATCTTGGTTTTGGTAGGAGCTATGTTTGATAAACATAGATTCTATTCAAGCATCAGGGTTACTAAAAGCACAGTGTTAGTTAGCGAAGACTTGGCGGGCATCATGTTTCAGATCTTTGTAAATGAATAGGTCTCTGAGGTCGGGTATATTGCCCATATTTGATTTGATCTGGGAAATCATTGACTATAAAAAAGGAGAAGCAGGGGATATGATCGTCCCTTTTCAGTTTGCAAGACTGACTGTAACTGACCCGTTTGTTCAGGGATCTTGTAAGTTTTCGTAACAGTCTGCATGTGTCATTTGCTAGAATATTACCTCCATGCTATTCGGACTCAACGAACTTGGTCCAATTCAAGGGTGCATACATACTAGGAGAAGGGTGTGCTCATCCGTCGGACTACAAGCTGGTCCAGCTCACAAGAAAATGAGGCACAAAAATCCCAAAGCCGAACACAAGACGACGAAGCCATGGCGCGTCAAAGGAAAGTAAAGTATATCATCGGATGACTTAGTTATCGGATAGAAGAACGCTCAACCATGAGTCTTTTGTATGGAGATTAGGTGAGTTATAAGGCAATCACTAATTAACAGTCAAATCATATGAGCTCGGCTGCCGCTATCACATATCACTATATGCACACTTTCAACCAAACTACACTAGATCTGCTCTTTCGACTGTTATAAGAGTCTATTCTGAGATGTCTAGGTAGACCTACTATGGGGTCATCATAGTTACCTCGATCATCAAGCTGATACCGCTTAGAAGTGGTAATGACTATATTACTACTATCACGGAGGAAACTTGTTCTCAACATAAATACGACAATGGTTTGACGACACAAAGGCTCCGTCATGGCATGTATATTATCCTTGACATCGTCTTGTACCAACTTTATCGGCATTAAAGGCTTAAACACATCTAAGGCATAATCGTATAGAGAAACCTGAAAATAAACATAAGACGAGCAAAATTAAGGCACTTCTTGGACATGAATGGAAAATTTACTCCCGGTATCCAGTATCAATTAAAGACCTAGGTGTACAGCGATCTCTGAGCATAGTCAAAGAATTATGTGATATCCTACAAATGATTTAGGACGAGGAGACCTCAGGGCACAGAAGAGTTCTCTAGAGGCTACGTGCACTTTACAGCTTACAAAGCTAGGGAAGTACTGAATATTCTCTACTAGGTCAACTATGATATAAGTGGTTCTGTAATGTATAATACGCTTATGACTAGCGTTTACCGACACACTTCATCCTAGCTCATACTATGCGAATAAGTTTACTATCAATGCCCAATAACTTTCCCGTTGGCTTTCCCCTGGCTTCTTATCCACATCTCTATGACTCTGCTTGTGAGCCCTCTTGCTACGACTTCACATTATGATTGCCTTTTCAATCGCTGAGAAAGTGTAACGATGATAATTCGTGCCCGATGAACGAGATTTGCACCGTGTAACCTCCTTGTCCTAAGCTGTATGACGGGATAGACTAGTGGCGCAACCTCCTTGTTCAAATTTATTCATGATATTGAACAATTTCTCTGACATATCTACTTCAGCCAGAAAGGTGGCAGTTTTATGAGAAGATGGACGGCCTTGCAGCATCATGAGTCTGTCGCCGGAGGACTTAGGACCGATCAGGTAGTCGTGGATACGCACGTCCGCAAGTTGCTGCTGACCCTTCGACACGGGGCATGGCATCTCGCTCTTATAGTCTTCAATAGAGTAAACCCTGAGAATGTGTTACTATGTTTAATGATCTATTATACCCCAGAACAACGCCAAAATCACCTACTCATGCTGAGCTACCGTGCAAGTAGTATTCTTTGACCAGGTTGAGGGAGGCATTGGATACCGTTGGTAGCGTTGAAAGCAGCGTGCTAAGCAAGACAGCTATTGTGTTGATAAGGATGATCGGAAGTATAGTGAAGCTCTAGAAGGCAATGAACCAGGCCCATGTGCTTTTATAAGAAACAACGATTAATTATTTATATATCAGAAAGAAAAACCATAAAAGCCATGAAAGACATCCCGCTGGGTAGCGACAGTATGGCTTGGAGGGGTTACCGAACATCGGAAACTAAACCAGTACATTTGAGGTCATATTACTTGTAGATGTATACAAGCTTTAAGACGAGGTTGCCGCAGATTTCCTATGTATTTGATAATATGGCATGGTTTAGTGATTACAGACCATCCATGTATTGATGCGACCGGGGTCCTTACCCGAAAGCACAACTGCCAATAAGATGCTTGACGGTACAGATACCCTCCCCTAGCTGGAGATGCATAGCTTCCACGCCTTTGCATATCATCATCCCAGTCAATAGTCCTGCGCATATCTCATCAAATCAGAAGAAACAGATCATCGGACACCTTCCGATTCCGGTCGTAGTACCTTGTAAATCGACTCGGACCACATTCCCAAATGGGTAAAGTTTTCCCCAGATAGGATATAATATGCATCAAAATTATGTGCAGCAAGTGTCACAACCATATCATCAAAACGCTTCATGATGATTTAGTTAGTATCTTAAAGACACACTTTGAAATTCAGACTGTTCTTATCGCATTGATTGGCAAATCTTTACTTATCTTTCCAGAACATCGTCCAAGGTTAGTAGGTAACATATCAGTACATCTTATTGATCAAAGGGGAAAAGGACTGAGACTTGAACGACTTGTATTCTGAATCCATTCATGTACGCTATCTATCGTGGAACACCTCACTAGACCCAACTGATTGCCCCTTGCCTTGAAGCTGATTGACTACTGCACGCAGACTACTGTTCACTTGCGTATCTCCACTGTTAATGTACACCAACGAGAACATTAGAACATACGCATAGTTCATCCGTATTCTATCCAGGCTTAACTTCTGAGTTGGTTATTTTATTATGTCACGTTTTGTAATAAACTTGTGCCTTGTTGTTTAAAAATATATCACCATTGTTATATATAATAACATAGTTTATCTCGAAATTGAAACAGGACAAGATTGAATGTATTGCTACATGTTTATGGAAATCGTAAAGGATGACAGATATTTCATTTGGTCTAGTACTAGTAGCGCTTGACAATGACACACTGAGACAACAGCTCCAAAAAGAGCCTTTGTAGTATAAATACTCCAAAAGTGTAAGTACATGGTATAATTGACATCCCAGCTCATGTGTAAGACCTAGTGATTATCTGAAATGATGTAGGCACCATGGGTCACAATTTTTGTATGAACAATGCGGTTCTCCCTTCACGATAAACAGATATACTCGTGACTACGGCGACTTATTTGTCTTGTCCAGTCGTCATCGTAGCGGTAAGGTTGAGAATGCCATCACTGGATAAAACGTAGCTGACAACAAGTAAGGCTAAGTAGTAGGAGAGAGCTCTCTTTGCCGAGGGATGAAATGAACATCTCTAACACGCATTCATGTCGACAGAGTGAATACAGGTTGAGAAGTATATGGAGTACTGTCATCTGAAGAATTTGGAGTCGGGTGCTGTCGGTGAGCCACTGGGTATTGTATTCCCACTCAGATAGTGGCGTGGGATCTAATGACTCATATTATCGTGAC